ACACACTCTACTAAGCTGGTAATTGAATCATCCTTGATAATGGCTAAAGGTATAGCCGAAAGCGCTCGGAAACACAGAACATTCGGACAGTTCTTACACACTCTTTGTCCAGAAAAGAAAGCTCTTGTCAGAACACAAGAAAAATTAAATAAAAAGCTCAACCGTAGTACCTTGTCTGTCGTTTTTAATGAAACATGCATAAAGGAAGGATTGCTGCCTAAATATACAAATATATATATATATATATATATATATATATATATATATATATATATAAGTTACTTCCAACTTCCTTAAAATAGAAGCTTCTTAGAAGTGGCATGCACGTTTGAAACTTGATGGCGTGCACATTTCTTTACAATAAGATTTCTCGAGTGCGTCGGCCTAAAAGTACACTTTATTTAAAATCAAATCAAATAGGGTATCAACTCAAAATATCGTTTGAAGTATTATAGCTCTTGATAGTGAAAATCAATAATCTATGGTGACTTAGGTGTTCATTTTTATACTCTGTGCATATTTAAAAATGCTTTATGCAGCAATACTGACAATTCTTCCTCCCTAAAAGCAGAATTCTCTTTGTTTTAATTTTAAAATATATAATAATTTTAATATATATGCATTTGTGCAAAGGAGGACTTTGAAAATGTTTCCATTTATATATCTATACATATATACGTATGCAAATACATTTGTTCTCGCGTGGCAAGGTGGGAGATGGGTTTAGTTTGATACCTTATATATTCAGAAATTCTCTGAAATATCGATAAAATAAATTCTGTTTAATTGGCCACCTGTAGGTATGCATACTGACGTGGCCTTACTACGGAGTCTGCCTAAGGAAGCAAGAAAGTTATAATAAAAAAAAACTAATTTCGAAAGAAAGAAAGTGTAAACAATTCAGTTAATTAAGAAAGTATGAAAAGTGAATATGAAATAAAGCAAGAAATATCAGTAAATCGAGAGAAGAAAAAGAAAGAGAAGAAGTATTATAGAAGGAAATAAATTATATATGTATGTAAGGAAACGAAGACATACAGATCCCCTAAAAAAAGAAGAAAGGAAAGAGAACGAAAAAGAAAGCTGAAAATTTGAATGCCGTGCTAAATGCCAAAAAAATACATTTTAAAAACGAATCAACACGCCTGAAGCAGGAAACCATATTCCATTCTTGTAAATATAGGTTGGCAATATAATATTCGACTGAGTAATTACATTAAGGTGGCAATTTAGCGAATGACACTCGGCGTGGAAATAGTTAGAAGATATTGCTGATGGAAGAGAAGAAAAAAGGAAAGGTGAACATTTTTCCACGTTCCAAACGATATCTATTATCGTTATCATGGAAATATAAAAGCTTCTCGAATCTAATGGCTTTTACTTGGATCAAGTGACAGTAAGCAACCAGGATTTCACAGCTTCCTCCATATTCTGACAGATTTCATTTATGAAATTAATATATACCTATATATCCTGTTTAGGTCCAATAGTTTTTCATATTCGTTTATGAACAGTCGGCAAACAATCGTCAGAGACCTCGGTGTATGTATCAGTTATATATATATATATACTTAAAAAAAGATTTTTATAAGAGATAAGGGAATTTAACAGAGAATAGGTTGTCCAAGGAATAGTTTTGCTCAAGGCGCAAGTTGACATTATCAAAACATTAAACTAAATCTCGAGTTATCTTCTTAAATAACCTCGTCAGATCTATACTTCTTTATGGATGTCTTGGATGACGCAAAACCCATTTATAAATATCTAAAGTTTCAGCCATGAATAAATGCTTCATCTGATCAATGATTAACAATCGCTTCCAGCGAATGAAGCTTTTAGGTCTGAGCGAACCATAGTTTTTCGGATCTCATGGACTTGTGCTATAAAATCACCGTAGAACTGTATCCCATTACTTAAACCACACCACTTGCGGACTTTCAACAACATGAATGGAAACTAAAATGATTAACACATAACTCGACGAGTAAATAATGACATAATCATTGGTGTTTCACAGGTTTTCAAACAAAAACTTAGAATGTAATTCCACATCAATAATGGAAAAAGCGATAATAGCTACAGGACTTGAGAAAATTTTCCTGAAAAATAGAATTTTTTAAATAATTTTTCACCGAGTGTAGCACTGTCTGCGAAGAAAGCCGAATATTTCCTTATCAGAAATTGGCTAATATTACCATTTGAGATGGTTCCTGGAAATACAGGTATGATAAAATCGTGATGATATTCTACATAATTTTAAGAGGGATTATCATATAAAGACGTTTAAACTATATTGAAGATATTATCTGGTTTTCATTTATGTAATATCAGTGCTCCTATATGGAAGGGAATGCTGGACAATCTCTTCCAAGATGAAAACACTTGAAGCAACAAAAAAGTGGTTATACAGAAGGATGCTTAGAATAATATGGACGAACAATGCAAGAAACAACGCAGTTTCATAGAAAATGAAAATAAAAAAGGACCTTTATAGAAAGAGTTGAAATTTCTAGGGTACATAATGAGGAAAGAGGTTTTTATAACATTTTACACTAACAGAAAAGATTGAAAGCAAGTTGGACAGAGGAAAATAGTGCGCTTATTTAAAGGCAATATTCAAATTGGCTCGGTCATCGACGCACTCTGCAGCCGAGTTGTCAAAGCACGTCAGATCTAATCACGGTTTACCCTAGGGGAACACAGGTTCGAATCCTGCAGGAGGGCGTATATTTTTCTCTCATGAGATTTCTCGAATATTCAGGATGATAGACGAACATAAATATACTGTCTAATAAATAAACCGGGCGTCTACTCAGATATGTGTATCCACTAAAACGAGCGTTTAAGTAATAAAAATTAATGAAGTGTCAAAACAGTAGAGACAACAGTTCATTGGAATATTTCGATTTCTTCCACTTGTAATAATGGATACATAAGAATACGATCACTGTGACTTAATAAATAAAAGTAGTAATGGAGCATTAAATGTAGGGTGGGTTGATTTTTCAAGTTCTTTAGAAAATCAACGTTGCATTCACTGTGAAAGGTGGGATTAGATTTGATAAGTATTGACACCAAAAATCAGATTCGTAACTTTTATCAATTATTGATTATTTACTTTTACATAAAATATACAGAAATGCCTAATTTCCGCAGGCTTTTGCTTATAAACTGACTTCAGAATTTTATATTTTCAAGAATAAATTCAAATAAAGTTGATATCTTTTATATTAGATGAATGGAAAATATATTCAAAACAGAATTCTATTTCTGAACCACAAGAAACTTATGCATTTGTTTACTCAGTTCACTAAGTAAAAACTTTAAAAAAAAATTCTAAAGGATTAAAAAAAAACTCTACTCAATAAGATTTTTTACATCATTTGTTAGATCATAATTAATTTTAAAAAAATAGATAAAAAGCATATAACACCATAATATTACTTGGTACAAATTATAAAAGATATACAAAATCTATATTGTTTATTGAAAATATTCTTAAAATGACTGTACTGTATAATATATTACGTCATAATATAGCTTATTTGATGGCACAATGATTTAGTAATAATATGCTTGTGCCAAGCATCTTGTCTATATAGAATTTATAAAACTTAAGTAAATTATAAGTTTTATAAGGCTGTGCTATAAGGCTGTGCTATAAGGCTTTCACTGATCACCAGAATTAAATTCCAACGCAAGGATTTTAAACCTAAACTTAATATTTAAATTTATTTCCACAAAAAACGGTAACGATTTGAAAAATATTTTGTGTCGTTATTTATTATGTCAAACCCAAACTCTCAAATTAAGTACCACATCACTGTTTCAAAAGCGACCTGCCCTGCCGTAATGGTGCAGCATCTTGTCTATTTTTGACATCATTTGAACCATGAATAATCATTGTGGTCAAAAAGCTTGAAAACAGCGCTCATTCTGACTCGATCAGCAACGGAAAGGATATGTCGGAGTTATTCAATATCCAGACAGAAAAAAAATCCGCCTGCCCAAATGGGATGAAGAAAAGTTATGAGCGGTGACTGGCAAGAATGGTTGTCTCCAAAGATGAATATTTTTTCAAACTTCAACTCAATACAATGACACACAATGTATCAGGTAAAGAACTGTGCCTCGTATTCTGAATTCAGTAGGGTTTTCTTAGTGACGACCAACAAGGCAGCATTACATCAGTAAAAGTGCGTTGCCTGTATTGAAGAACACTACAATTCGACTATAGACATTAGTTTTTGATGCCGATTTATAGTCATCGCTGTACTGACTCCCTCAAGAAGACCGTTGGTTTCCTGTACGGAACAAACTGCATGAAGCTATGGATATATTCTGGTACCAGTGTGTTGCGCATATGGCGTCTCTGCAAGTGTGTAAGATGAAACTCTGTTTTGACAGGTATTATATAAACAAATCCTGTTGCAAGTATTGCTTATTGACTGTCATGTTTCTGGCGGTAAAATGTTATTTTACATAACACATCCCCACATTATGACGGTAATTTCTTGCTTTTTCCTTGTTTCTTTGACCATCCGCTTTAATACTTATTATGTATGTAACATCTTGTAGGACTCACTAAATTACATGCATCTACACTCAACAAACCGAACAAAGAACGTTGAATTTTACGTCGGGAGATGCCTTGATATATATATTTCTTTAGGCAACGGCACAATCAAATCACAGACATCATGCTACGTCGCGTAGTTGCCGATATTCTGACAAAGCGAAAGGTTCATGTTATTTGGTAGATGCTGATATCTTGGTAAATCACTACATCTTTACTCGTTTGTATATGCGAGAAATTTGTGTGAGTGTCAAGAAGGCATTAACCTTTTTGAATAAAAAATTTATCGATCTCTTTATGTCTTCATCGATAAAAATGCTGATCTCTAAGTGTATTTTGTAATAAATATTCATAAATATAAGTAATATTTTCATATATGTTAGTATGTGTAGTTCCATAGATAGATAAGCACAGTCTATCTAACTAGATAGATAGATAGATAGATAGATAGATAGATAGATAGATAGGACATTTACGAATTGTTATTTAGGTAGCTAGTTACTCAGACAAGACTGCGATAATGTTTCCTAGCATCTTTATATACTCTACAACTGTGGTTTTGTGCTGTAATGATCTAAAATGGAATAGGCTTTGTGAACCTTGTCTCTTTCCCAACCGTTCATCTTGCGCCAGATAGATAGATAGATAGATAGATAGATAGATAGATAGATAGATAGATAGATAGATAGATAGATTTGTGTATGCCTCAAGGCAAGCAATGTCTATGAAATAGTAGATATCAATTTTAAGAAGTTAAATTCATCCTGGGTCATCGCTTGTATCTTCTCAGTGTCTTCAATGCTGCAATGGTGTAACGGTTGCCCTGGTAGATGTTTCCTTGAGTAACCCCCAGACGAAGAAATCTGAGGGCTCAGGTCAAGCAAGTGAGGTGTCCATTCCACTTCAGCTTTGCGGCTGAGAACCTTCCCAAACCTTTCACGGAGCCACACCATTAGCAGGGGGATGAGCAGTACCATCCTGCTGCAACCGCTGTACCTCCTCATAAAGGTCCTCACGGTCCACAAGCTCTCTCCTATCTGAGAGGCCGATGCTTGTGTATTGCGTACGTGCGTGATTCCTGAAATCATCAGCAAATATGAAAAATACATAAATTAAATAATCCATTTGATTAACAATGTGCTCAGTTTTTAATTGCGGTGTTTCGCTACACATGAAAGATTACGAACGTTGTATAGAAAAAAAGGTCCGAAATATATTGTCGAAATAACAAAACTCAGATGAACAATGAGTAATTCATTAACACGATGATCATATTGCAGCTGTCGTGGAAGGGTGGAGAACAACACTGACGCAGACTATTCTTTTTGCAATTTAGTTTTGAATTAGGAGTTTTGCAACACCGAGGCTAGTTAACACCCAAGGCAAGAGGGTCCTGTCTTTCCAGCCATTTCACTTATATATGAATTTGTGTCTTTTACAAGCATTTATTTAGGATAAACGAAAAGCAATCAGGTAGAATTTTAATTTGGTAAGCTAATTCCACACGATTATAACCGTTATTCTAAACTCAGGTAAAAGGTAAATTTACATTTTTTTTTATCATTTCACCCAAGCAAGGCAATAAAGTCACTAAGAAACAAGGGGTTACAGAGTGTGAAAAATGATGAGAAAAGTCAAACTTTATTAAGGAAAGTGAGCAATAAAAGGACCTGAATTAATTAGATAGATAACTATTGATACTGCAATTAATTTTTTGGAAAGCAAAGGTGACTGGATAGCAAGAAGTCCAAGAATACATCCACAAGCAAGAGTTCCTAGTGAATAAACTGTTAGCATAGAACTTACGGTTACATCTAGCTATTTAAACTGAACTTGTTCCGAATGCACATGCATGCTGTTTGCTGCCAGTATAGGTTCTTGATTATTCTGATATCTTTCCCATATAAATCAATATGGTTAAGTAGTTCCAACAAGAAGGAGGCTTATGCTTAACATCAGCAAGAGGCAGCTGAAGTTTCTGGGACACGTAATGAGGAAAGAAGGCCTGTAGAATCTGAGATTCACGTGTTGAATAGAGGGAGACCTAACTCACTGACTTCTCGAGGTATCAAAAATGAAAGCTCTTCAGAACAATTACCATGAACATAATTATTAAAAAAAAAGACACAGGTAAGGGACATCACGGCGGTGGGAAATGACTGAAGCCGAGATGCCAGGTCAAGAACAAGAATATTGTAGAATCCTCTTAGATGTTATAATCTGGAAATGCATAGCCGAAGCACCAAAACAGATCTGAGAGCTGTATGCAATGCATGGAAGAATGGAACACTTATAAATGTACAAGATAGATTCTGGCGAGGATGATTATCAAGCGATACAGTGAACCAGCTTTCCTAGCAACACACGTAGCAATTGATTCAATATTGTCTTCCCACTTCATGTCATGGAAAATATTAGACCAACAAATCACAAAGGTATCTGTCTATATTTCTGATATGAGGTATTATGTACACTATTTACATTATTCGGACTATTGTACTCATCTTTGTCGCCATATTTATTACAAAGTTTCGGCCGTTGTACGCTCCGGCCTTCTTCAGATGTTTGCTCAAATACACATGGCACTGTGGGAAAAGGCGTTACTTAGTTAGAAAAAAGCGATAATAACAGCAAAAGTTGCAATATGAGCTCTGGTAAAACACAACATGATAACAGCAAAAATTGCAATATGAGAACTGGTAAAAATGGTTGCTGAAGACAGTGGTTTATAATACCCAGAAATTCATACACAGATGTCCTCAAGGATACATAGCACAGTGGATAAAGGCGTTGGTTAGATCCAGTGATAGGACCCAAAGCGTGTGAGTTCAATACCCGGTTAAGGCAAAATTAACAGGAGATAACTGATAACTGGCATTTATTAAACCTGGCACGTGGTCTAGCCCAGTGAGCGAAATAAAGGGCTCAGTTCGATATTCCAACCACCTGAAGAAGGCCGAAGCGTACAACGGCCGAAACGTTGTAATAAATATGGCAACAAAGATGAGGACAATAGTGCGAATAATGTAAATAAAGTCACAAAGTTCACTATCCTGGGGGTTGGCATGATGGAAGACAAATTCCTTGAACGAATTTATGCATTTATGTCTCTATATGTCTTTTTAATCACCAAAATAGGAAACAACGTCTCTAAGAAAAAAAAATGGTCAATAACTCTCGCACAACCTAAGTAAAAACAAGTCAAAATACTTTTAAATACTATCCGAAATATTTTGTCTTTCTTGCCAACCTAACTTTGCTCGATTATTGGATAAAGACAGTCGTGCTTGGGTCGAGATGTTCATATTTTATTCTTTTTTATTTTTTTTATTATAGCATTTATTTTATATATTTTGATTTATTTAAATTATATATTTATTTTTTGCCTTTCATTTTTATCTTGGGAAATATGGTTTGGGTGTCTTTTTGCCCTGAGGTAACTGTTTTAATAATTTGATGTCGAAAAGTTCCGAACTATACTTTCCCTTCACAGAATGCCGCAGGCAGATTTTGCCGGATTGCAAACTGTTTATTTATTCCTTTTTACTTACCAATTACTTTTAATATATGCAGACAAAAAAAACACTATTTATTTGTTGAAGACAAACTAAAATAAGCATACATCTATTTATAAAACTTTGTAAGACAAGTATCGCATCACACACACACACACAGACATATATATATATATATATATATATATATATATATATATATATATATATATATATATATATAAATATATATATATATATATATATATATATATATATATATATATATATATATAGACATTTCAGTGAACAGACAACAGACACATACACACACAAACAGACGAACTAAGGTGTGATGAAATGTTCGCAGCCGACCATAAATGTACGACAAGCTTATTCTACTTACACATTTGGTCAGATTTGAGTAAGTGTGTTCTGTGTGAAAATATTCACCATATTTCTTATCTATCTATGTGTATTAATCTTACTTATTAAATAAGTAATATTTTTAATCATTTCACCTCAGCAGTGGCAATAAAGCCACTAAGACGTAAACGTTGCTAAGTGTGAGAGAATATGAGTAAGAACGCAATAGAATGGAGAGAGAACGGTATAGGAGTTAACGATTGACATTTTATTCAAGTTTTTTAAAATATCAAAGTTTGTTGGGAAACAAAATTCGGAAGAAGGTTTCATAAGCTACAAGTCCGAGAAACAAAACTTCGAATAGAAATTACGCTTACATATCGTCATTTCAATTTTAAAATGATGAGACTTTGCCACCAATGTACTACAGCGCTTAAATTGAAAGGTCTAAAGAGCACAGAGAAAAGCTCATCAAAAACAATTACCATGAAAGTATTTATAGAAAAGGCAGAGGGAAGCAATATTAAGACGGTGGGAAAGTGATTGAAATCGAGATGCCAGGTCAGGACCAATAACATTGCAAATACTTCTTTGCATTTTATCAAGAATCTCTAAATACATAGTCGAAGCATCAAACCAGATGTGGCAGCAATATTCAAAACGCTGGCGAATGGTAAACTTATGTATATGTAAGATAGATTCTGCAGAGAAAAATTGTTTAGCTTGACACACTGAACCAATATTCCTATCAGTAGACCTAGCAATTGATTCAATATAATGTTTCCACTTCATGTCAGCGGAAACCGTTAGCCCTTTGCATATTTACAAAGCTATATTTAGAACATAAGAATTTAATAAATAGGTTTTGTTAAATTCAACTAAAAATCTGTCTGCAATTTTTATTCTGTTTTTTCGAATAATATTTTGTACCTCATAATTAAATTCTTTGTTCATTTTTAATTATGTTTTTTTTTTTTTCACTCGATTTATTGAGACATTATTAAGATCTAAATGTTGTCAGTATGGTAGGCATTATTTTTCTTTGTCACTGATATGATAGAATTCATTCAAATATATATATATATATATATATATATATATATATATAACAAAGACAATAGAAAAAACTTCTTAGGCGTCACGTTTCTTCGACCTCTGATGAACTTTATCAAGTCAGATATAAGAATTTTATTTTGAAAGTATTTATAAAAAAAAATGTAAAAAACACTTTTCATTTGCTTGATAAAGTTCATAAGAGGACGAAGCGCGTTGGCTAAAATAAGTTTCCCTTTTTTCTTTTGCATATACATTTTTATTCATATCTGAAATTTTACATCCCACATATATATATATATATATATATATATATATATATTAGCAAATGTTTTGCCAATATGAATAATAAGAATAGATCGTCATTAAGTTTAATAACAGATTTATAATAGATTTTTATTCCTCTATCTCCGGGGACCTCTTAGTTAATAGCATTAACTTTGCAAAAAAAAAAACTATATGGAAATAACGGATGATGAAACTAATATCATTTTAACTGCTAACACTTAATAATTCTACCTGGACTAAGTGCAGTAATGACGATTTTGATGTCCCTATG